ACCATAATATTAACCATGATATTAACCATAATATTAACCATGATATTAACCATAATATTAACCATGATATTAACCATAATATACATGCTTCTTTTGATTCAATTAAATGATGTTAAAGAGGTAGAAATCATCTCACATTAAGAATTTTAAGAATTGAAAATAGATTTGATTTGCCTATCAATGATTACTTCAAATGGTTACTCGATACTTGATAATAATAATTACGATTACTCGATAATAAATTACTCAATGACGATTAACTCGATAATGATTACTCATTAATGATTACTCGATAATGATTACTCATTAATGATTACTCGATAATGATTAGTCAATAATGATTACTCAATATTAATTGCTCGGTAGTCATTCAATTGACTCCTTTTAACATTCATAATACATTAAAAGTATATTCAATTTCATATGACACAATCGATGATCGACCGTGCCTCAACCCTTTTTTTTTTTAATCATTAATCGCGTACATTCGGTTCTCTGAATACTTTTAAATGCTCAATTTTAAAAATCATAATATATACAAAAAAAGCTAATACATTTCAATCAATCTATATGTAAAGTTTGATTAATAACTGATGACAATGATTTTCCGCTTATCTGGTTGCTAGGTATAAAGAATTAAAAGAAAACATGACAAGGATCGGATGATCATAAATTAAAAGAAACATGACAAGGATCGGATGATCATAAATTAAATGAAAAAGTGAAAATCGGATTTGTCAGAAAACGGTTTAGATCACGATAAAAAAAAATAAATAAAAAAATTAAAATAAATAACTACTAATAATAATAATAATTATTATTATTTTAATGTATAATTTTAATGTAATGAATGAATATTTTCCATTCTAATTATCGAGTTTCAATCCATTAATGCAATTATAATTATAATTGTACTAATGCGTTATAATATAATGAAACGCGTGAATTTGGGTAATTCGATCTTTGGAACTTTCGAATGAAGATTGATTTACCGTGTCATGTTAATTGTCGTGTTAATTGTAGTGTTAGTTAAAGGTACTGTCTTTATACGCGATTCCAATACCACGATTAAGATTAATATAATTCATTATTATTCTAGGTTTTTTTTTCAAATATATTTTATTAAAGTATATGTTAAAGTATATATTAAAGTATATAGTGAAATCATCGATCTATATAATCATCGATCTATATAATCATCGATCTATATAATCATCGATCTATATAATCATCGATCTATATAATCATTGATCTATATAGAGAATTTAATACTTTAATGAAATTTTTTCATTATATCAAATCTAGGTATTGGACCCTGGTAGACCTCATTGTTATATGACCAACCAAAATATATAATAATTTAACCAAATAACCCGGATAATTTAATGATACCCGAGTAAAGATTAGTAAGATTGTAGAATCTTTACTATATCGAGAATTAATTGTCGTATTCATAAAATCCTCTATGACTTTTTTTACCCAAGTACCCTGCATCGACATACTTTTGTAATAATGTGGCGGGTCTATATTTCTCGCCAATCTCATTGTGTAATACTTTCATAATAGCCAAACACGTATCAAGACCAATAAAATCGGCCAATGCCAAAGGTCCCATAGGTGTATTAGTACCAAGCTTCATGGTGGTATCAATATCTTCTCGTGTTGCTATGCCCTTAAAATAATAATAAATAAATCATGTATATTAACATATAATGACAGAAATATTATATTAATATATAATAACAGAAATATCATATTAATTTTATATAATATTATATTAATTTTATATAATATTATATAATATTATATTAATATTATAATTAGTATTATAATAATTAAATGATATAATTTATACCTGTTCAAACACAATTATAGCTTCATTAATATAAGGCATCAACAATCTATTTGCGATAAATCCTGGAACATCTTGAGATTGAGAACAAGTTTTACCCATAGATACAGCTAATTGTTTCGTAATACTTAAAGTTTTATCAGAGGTAGTTAATCCTGAAATAATTTCCACAAGTTTCATCACTGGTACAGGATTCATAAAATGCATTCCAATAACCTATAATTTATATTTTGTAGTTTATAATTTGTAATTTATAATAATTTTATAATTTGTAATTTATAATATTTTTATAATTTGTAATTAAAAAAATGTATAAATTATAAAATAAATAAATAAATAATAAATAGGTAAATAAAGAAAATAATTCCATAAATTAAATAAATAAATACCGTACAGCGCGGACTATAGTACCCCAAATACGATACATTCATACGATACATTCATACGATACATTCCATACGATAC